TGCCCTGCCTCAGCTTCCTGAGTAGCTGGGATTACAGGCATGCATCATCATGCCCAATTTTTGTATTTTTAGTAGGGACATGGTTTCACCATATTGGCCAGGCTGGTCTCGAACTCCTGACCTCGTGATTCTACCCATCTCGGCCTCCCAAAGTGCTGGGATTACAGGCCTGAGCCACCACACCTAGCCTAATTTTCTATATTTTTATAGAGATGGGCGGGGGGGTGTCTCACTATGTTGCCCAAGCTGGTCTCAAACTCGTGGCCTCAAGTGATCCTTCCAATCTCAGCCTATCAAAGTGCTGGGATTACAAGAGTCAGCCACTGCCCCTGGCATCTTTTTCTGCTTTATTTTTCCCCCTTGTAACTCTGATCATACATGACCTATTGATCTCCTTTGGGGTCCGTCTGCCCCAACAGCAGAAGGCTATTTCCTCTGCGAAGGCCCCACTGCCCAGGCATCCAGGACCCAGGGCAGGAGCTCAGTGAACTGGCATGCCAGGCCATGGAGGACCCACCCTGCCCTGGGTGATGTGGGATAGAGACAGGGAGGTAGGGTGTGCCTACCCAGACCAGCCAGGCTGCCCCAGCTCCAGGAATAGGCTGCTGTGGGGGCCGCAGCCCACCTGCACTCTGAGAAGCAGCAATCCACACAGCGGCAGCAGGGCAGACGTAAGACTGCAAGGCCTCATTCTGCACATGGATGAGAACATGTCAGACGCACCCAGAAAGCTATTCAATGAAAGGCTTGCTTCACGGGCTCCACTGGTGGGCATGACAGCATCGCCCACGTGTTCACTCTCTGCACAGAAAAATGGGCCCTTATGAGGGGTATAAATAGCCTGTCCAGATGTGGGAGTGCCTCAGGGGCTTTTCCCAGGACTCCAGTGTGTGTCCCTTGGCGGCTCAGATAGCAGCCCTTCAGTGAGACCCCGGGGGCTGCCAAAGCAAGTGCAGGTCAGGGCCTGAAAGGGTTATGTGGGAACCCTCCTCCCCCAGGAACGCAGGATGGGGCTCATCACACACCATCACTGGCCTGTAGGCTGAGCATGCCAACTGATGCATTCACAGTATAGCTGGGACACAGAAAATCAGCCGCAATCTGTAAGTCTTACCCAGAAAGCAAGGGAAACAGAAGCCCAGATAACACGGGGCCTTTTGGGGAGGGGTATGTTCACTGAAGCACGGGCCCGGGTGCCCTGCAGACGTCGTCTCAGTGGTCCCTGGTTATTTCGTAAGGCCCAGCAGGCTGTCTTGTAATGTCTGCATAAATGCAAAATTATAGCACTTAAAGCTGGCTAAAAATAACTCTCAAAGACTGATACAGTTGTTACCAGTCAGTAGCTCCCAACTACAGGGGTGAGGCCTCGACAGGAGAGGAAGTCAAATCCAAGGGCACCAAAGAGCAGTTTAGATCCCACATATACCAGGCGAGCCACAGGTATGATTTCAGATTTTCCTAGAAGTCACACTAAAAAAGTACGTTTTCTTTAGTAATATACATATACACACAGAGACAGAGACAGAGAGAGAGAGAGACAGAGACAGAGAGGGCGATACGGAATCTCACTCTGTCGCCAGGCTGGAGTACACTGACACGATCTCAGCTCACCGCAACCTCCACCTCCCAGGTTCAAGTAATCCTGCCTCAGCCTCCCAAGTAGCTGGGACTACAGGCGCGCGCCACCACTCCCAGCTAATTTTTGTATTTTTAGTAGAGATGGGGTTTCACAGTGTTGGCCAGGATGGTCTCAATCTCTTGACCTTGTGGTCTGCCCACCTTGGCCTCCCAAAGGGATTACAGGTGTGAGCAACCGCGCCCAGCCCTTTAGTAATGTATTTTGCCTAACCCAATACACATCCAAAATACAATCCATCTACACGTCTTGTACGCAGGTCATAAACATGGCAGTACATCTTGTCTTCTGTGTGCAAACCGTGAGTCGCTTGAGGCATCTCAGCCCTGATCAGCCACGCTTCTGGTATTCCGTGTCAGGTGTGGCGTCCAGCTAGGATACTGGACAGGTACCCTATGAGGCATAAGGAGGCAGTAGTGCCCACACAGCCACTGAAACGAGGAGGCGCTGTGGATCTGAGTGTGCTGAAGGTGTGGAAGCTTCTGGTTACTATAGATGAGGCCTCGGCCGTGGGAGCCTCCCGTGTGCAAGAGGCGGCTGGATGGTGCTAGTACCCTACGTGTCCTGTCCTGTTAAAAGCAGCTTTGGGATGCACAGCTTTACCATGCTTCCTCTGCACTGACCTGCTGCACTGTCTCTAGACTGCATGGCTTATCTTCAAAGCCAGGCTTCCGACAGGAAAGCTCACATCATTTATCATTAGTCAGAGCAATGCCGCGGAACCCTAAGAGCCCATCAGGGATGGGGTCCTGGGCATTTTCCAGGTACAGCCTCACAGGGCTGCAGCAGAGGACCTGGGACACCCTCCTGGGCCTCCTGAAACGTGCAGAAGTAATTAGCTCTCCTTTCAGTGTCATTTAATTAAACCTACTATCTTTTTGCTCTCAGCTCTGTGAGTCGTGGAACTGTACCTGCTAAAAATAAAGCCCAGCTCCTACGAACAGGGCTCCATCCCTGTGCAGGTGAAGCAATCCTGCCTCCAAGCCGTGGGGCACACTCTGACCCCAGGGAGGCTGGGCAATACCCACACAGCGCACTTCATAAAGACTACAGGTTGTTTTAATTTGAGAAAGAAGAGCCTTGCAGGTAGTATCAAAACAACAACCAAACTCAAAGGAATTCACTTTCTGCACTCAGAACTTCCCCCCATAAGCACATGCAAATGTAAGAGTTTAGGTCTAAGAAAAGAAATCACATGCAAGACACAGCATTGGATCCTGTGGCTCTATGACTCCCCCAGACAGATGTCCAAGCCAACCTGTGCTCCCTCCTCCGAGGACGCAGAGCCCTTTGCTGCCTGTCTGATCCCGTGCTTCTAGGGAAGCTGCTGGCAGGCGACGGCCCACAGGCCATTTCCAGCCATGCCCAACAGGCCTGCAGTAGGGACCACAGCAGCCCAGACCAGTCTAAGCCAGGCCTCCCGGAACCATCTGGTCCTGGCCCTCGCTAGGTAGACACACAGCCCTGATGGTCAGCTTCCTAGGGAGGCTGTCCTCTCACCAGGACCCTGCTTCACAGAGCCTGGCCCACAGTGGCACCAAGAACCACAATGCCTGCTTTGTTCCCACCCAGAGGCCGGCAAACTTGCTTGTATGGGCCACTTCACCCTGGAAAAGGTCCCTAAAAAGTTATTTTTGCTTCCACTTCAACCCAAGTTCTAGAATATATGTCTTAATCTTCAGTATGTCCTTTGCAAATGATCTCGTGTATGCGGACTCTCTCTGTGTGAAAGCTGCAGCCAGGAAGATCCCAGCCTGGGCAAGACCTGGAGGGCCGAGGTACCCCCAAGGCGTTAAAAGTCACAACCCAGCTTTCTAAAGGGGATGTAAGGACTTATACATCCTGCTTCTTACAGCAAAAGTCACATCTGGAAACGCCTTCTAACACAGACACACCTTCATCAACCTTTAATCCACGTCTCCAGGAGCGGCCACAAAAGTGGCATGCAAGTAAGTGGCTGAGGCTCCCCCAGCTTGGTGTGGCTGATAAGGTCAGTCCTCCCACCCCCGCAATTTCCACTGCCTCCTCTATTTCCACGACCAGATCTAGCAGGAGTGGGCCTTGTACAGGGGGGCCCTCTAACAGATCAAACAGAGCAGATTCTTCTGACGACCTCTTTTCTTCTGGCTCCATCTGAGCATGTACACAAGACAGAAATGAGAAGCCTGCACAGGTGGCTGATGAGCCGACGATGGTCCCTCCCAGGGCTGCCCAGGGTACCTCCCACATCCAGTGAACGTGTCAAACCACAGTCAGTGCCCCATGGTGAAGGCAGGTGTGAGGCTGGGGGCAGCATTCTGCGCAGGGTGAGTCCCACGGAGCCTGCAATCCTTCACAGCACAGCGACATGACCTGTGCCAGCCCAGGCCACCTCGGAATGGCAGAGGGTATAGCACCCCCAGCCCCGAGCTGACCCAGTGGAGCCCTGGCACAGGACTCCGCCCAGGCATGTGCCCAGCATGGGTGAGGAAGCACCGCCCCTCCAGGAAGCCGCCTGGGGCAACTCTGCCCCTTCACATTTACAGAAGAGGAAACTAAACCCATGAAGTGACGGGCCAGCCCATGGCCCAGGAGCCCTCCACGGCGGGCAGCCTGATCTCAGTAGTTGGGAGGGGATGGGGACAGGGCCAGAGAAAACAGGTGGCCTGGGTTATGGCCTACAACCACATCACTTCATCATGCTGTTCCTCCGTGGCCTCATCCGTGAGGGAAGGACAGTGCTCTGGAATCTCAGATAACACGGAGCCCCTTCTTCCACTCGGCACACACGAGGGGCAGGGGTGGAAGCAACCCTGCAGCAGCCCCAGGGGTCCCCCTCCACCTCACCCCAGCCCAAGCCACCGCCTTCCCCAGACCTCCCTGAACATGGGGCATGAAGGGTGTGAGCTAGTGGACAGAAGAGAAGCAACTGCCCACTGAAGACCCAAAGGGTCAGGTGAAAGACCACCTTCAACAACCCAGTATGAACTCCCAGGTGCACCAGCCCTCAGGGGACAGTCCAGGCAGGGGCACCTCCTCCACCTGAGCCCTTCCCTTCCTGCCAGGGAAGCCAGTGCTCAGGCTGGGTACTGGGCTCACCACCAAACGACCCGCACCCAGCATCGCCTCGCTCATGGCCTCCCCGGCCGCCACCCACTCTGACTTCTTTTACAGCCTCATCCCTTAAATGGACCCTGACCACTCCAGGCAGAACCACCTGAGCTTCCGGAGACAGGCCTTCCTCCCTCGCTCTCCAGACGCCTGCCTGGCAGGTCAACAGTGAACAGGCATCACTGCTAACAGAGGGGTGGAACACTGGCACAAGACCTTCTGAAGAGCCAATTCCAAAAGGAACCGTGGCTCTTGAGCGGACGCCATCACTTACCAAACGATCAGTGTTGTCAAACATTTCAGCATATGGTTTCTTTCTACTATCTGGTGTTAGCAGAGTCTGAAACAGAGTTAGAAAAGGGCGCATTTTAGCAAAATAAACTACCAGACTCCCTTGCGATATACATACACACCATTCCATACCCCAACCCTGTGCCAAAAATGTCCCCCAGGGACTGCAAGAGCATCGTCCTAGAGAACCATCAGTCACAGGGTACAGCTCACCTGGCCAGGTGAGACCAGAGGCAGCATCACAATTAAAAGATAAGGATCAGCAAGAACTGGGAGGGAGACATCATCCGCACCTTCCTTGACCTACCCATCTCTCCTCCCCTCTACTCCTGGCCAGGTGCCAATGTGGCAGAGTGTCTCCTTGGTATGGCACACAATCGCTGGGCATGAGCTCTAGGGCAGGAGGCACTCAGGGTGGGCCGAGGCCTTACCCAGGAACCCTGTGACCCACAATGAAGCCACAGTCAAGAAGGACACTGTAGCATAAAGCTCCCAATCAGTCCCTGATTTAAAATCACATGTGGAGACAATGTCAGTGCTAGTACTCAATATTTCAACACTTCTCAAGTTTTAAAATTAATTACATACTTAAAAACTAAGATCAGGGAGGAGACGGAGGGCAATGAAGAGAGGGAGAAGAAAAAAAGAACGCGAACAGGTATCAGAATTTGGGAGGGTTTTTCTTTTTGAGATAGAGTCTTGTTCTGTCACCAGGCTGGAGTGCAGGGGCACATTCTCAGCTCACTGCAACCTCTGCCTCCCAGGTTCAAGAGATTCCCCTGTCTCAGTCTCCCAAGTAGCTGAGATTACAGGTGTATGACACCACACCTGGCTGATTTTTGGTTTTTGTATTTTTTTAGTGGAGACGGGGTTTCACCATGTTGGCCAGGCGGGTCTTGAACTCCTGACCCAAAGTAATCTGCCCACCTTGGCCCAAAGTGTTGGGATTACAGGTGTGAGCCACCGCGTCCAGCCAGGAGGGTTTTTTAAATAACCTTAAAAGTAGGGGAGGGCTTACTAATGCCCCGCGTAGAGGAGAAACATGAAGCAACGCGCTGAGAAAACGCCAAGGGCTCTTTCCCTCCTCTACTGGCCTCTTGGAGCAGGAAGTGAGCATCACCAAGTCCCCACCCACAGGGCACACAGCCTCAAATGGCAAGTGAAGGGACAAGCTGTTCAATGTCATTGGTGATGAAAGAGACAAACTGAAGCAGGACGGCCGATTTCATTTTTGAGATGAGCAGTAGCTTACAAAGCTGAGCAACCACAGCCCGTGATGGGGTGGGGAAACCGGCGCCTGACAGTGGGGGACAAGACTCTGTGGCCACCTGACTGTGACCCTCAGGACGCTCCTGAATCACACTCCACTCGGACACAAAGCTACACCCATGAGGGTGCTTCCTGCATCGTAGCAAAGCCACGGAAACCCTCAAAGCCCATCCGCAGCTGACCAGGATCAAATAAAGAGCCTATCCAAATGCTGAAGTCTATGTGGCCATTACAAAGACAAGGAGGTCAGCCGGGCACAGTGGCTCACGGCTGTAATCCCAGCACTTGAGGAAACTGACCAGGGAGGATTGCTGGAGCCCAGAAGTTCAAGACAAGCCTGGACAACACAGTGAGATCCCATCTCTACAAAACATTAAAAAGTCAGCCAGGCATCATGGCACACACCTGTAGTCCCGACTGCTCGAGAGGCTGGAATGGGAGTAGTGCTTGAGCCCAGGATGTCAAGCTGCACTGAGCTATGACTGTGCCACTGTACTCCAGCCTGAACGACAGAGTGAGACTTTATCTCAAAAAAACAAATAAAACAAAAAACAAACGCTGAGGAGGTCACCTTGTGTGGAAAGGGAACTGCCCAAGACAGAATAAAAAGGCCGGCTGTGGAGGGGCAGCCAGGGCAAGCCCGTCACCCCATGGTGGCCTTACGTATGTGTGTGAATGGCTGCACAAGAAACATGGGCTCTTGGGAGGACAGTCAAGAGAGCAGTAACAGGTTTCTCATGCTGTGGAGTGGTCTGGGGATCAGAAGACAACTTGGTCCCTGCACTTCTGAGCTTCTGTATTAGTGACATTTTTACCCTGCACACCGCAACAGATTATGTGCCACAGTCACCCACAGAGCAGCATCCCCTTTTTCTTAGGTGGAACCTACAAATTTTACATGGTACATACAGCCTCAGGAAGGCCAACTCATGGCTGGTCACACAGTTCCCTTCCTGGGCCCCCCTAAAAGACTGCCTGCCACAGACACACCACAAACACACACCACACACATGCATACATGCACACAGACACCCTTCCATGCAAACATACATCCATCCACACTTACATGCACGCATATATACACCCATGCACACAGATACACCACACACACACACCCATGTAAGCAGACATACATGTATATTCAAAAAGTCACATAGACACATGCATACAAATGCATACATATACATACAAACATGCACACACACACATATATGCACACACAAACATACCCACATGCCACATTCACATACACACACAACTAATACACCTAAACACACACTCATATACACACAGATACATATACTCACATGGATACACATACACAAACACATACACACATACACAAACATATATCCCTTCATGTGCACTCATATACACCTACCTAAATACATGTGCCTACACACACATGCACACTCAAACACACACTCCACATGGTCCTCATCCTTGTCCCCAGGGAGCTGCAGTCCAGCATCCCCACTCACTCACACGCTGGGGAAAGAACCACCCCACTACTCCTCAGCAGCTCAGAGGCAGGTTCGGAGCCATCGCGGCCTCCTGGGGACCCCATGTGCCTCTGGTCAGTGGTTCTCACCCTGTGGCCTGCAGCAGAGCCCTGGCAAGGGTCTGAATGCCAGATCTCTGGGCCCTATTTGGAGCCCCAGTCCAGTAGCACTCTGGCAGGGCACCAAGAACATGCATTTCTAACAGGCCCTCCCGTGCTGCTGCTGCTGTTCCAGTGAACAGCGTCTGGTCCCTGGGGCAGCTTAAGGGAGTCAGGGTTTGGATGTGGCTCATTCATTCTGTCAGTGAATGCTTTTTGCTCCTTTTGTGTGCCAAGTTGCATCAAAAGTCCCAGGCCCTCCTGAGCATGCAAAGAAACAACCGGAGAAAGTCATTTCAGGGAGTGAGATGCTGATAGAGCAGGAACACATCGATGTGAGAAAGAGCCTGCAGGGGGGTTAGGGGAACTCTTACATTCCTGAGGGTCTCATCCTCCTGGAGGGATGGCAATCCCCCTGCAGACCCCAAGCCTCTTCCCTGCAGCTGCCCCTGCTCTGCCCCTGCCCAGCCCTGGGTCCTAAGCTGACCCTCGTCCTCCCTGCAGGCCTTAGGGGCTGCCCCTGTGTGTGGCAGGCACCTTCCTTCCCGTCTCCACCTGGCTCAAATCCCATCTACCTAGAAGCAGAGAACAAGGTCCCTAGCTGGTCAGAAAGGACCACACACCACAAGACCTAGGCTAAGATCTGAGGGCCCATGAGGCTAACACGAAGGAGCCCAGGCCAGCATCCAGTCACCACATAACAAGCTCTATTCTCTGCAAAACTCTGGGTGACAACTGTGACAATGCCAAGTGCTCCTAGAAAACAGCAGGAGGTAAGGAATCCCCTGCCCTCTGTATTGTAGAAACAGCCGCTACAAAAAAAAAAAAAAAAAAAAAAAAAGCCCCTTTCCCACAGGACTGAGCTATGGCTCACGATGCCCTCATCCACCCAGGATAAGGACAGACACAGAAACCCGCCAATGCCTGCTCTGTACCCCTCCATGACCAGTGGCACTGTGCGCCCCCCGCCCCCTCCCGATCACTCACAACAAAATGCTCATCACCAAGCCCTGCTTCACTTCTCTCCTTCCCCAGGCCCCTCGGGCACCACGAAGCCAGCGAAGCCCCTCGGACAAATGGCTGGCCTCGGTAAGGCATCTTCTGACTCCACCACCTTCCTCCCACATCCCATCTCTGGTTCTTCTAAGCCTCATCTACACCACCCTACGAAGAAGAGCCCTTTGGTCTAACCTTTGAGACGCGTGTGATCTCATGGTCAGCATGCGGCCAGGCCCTGGCCCTACTGTGATAGTCCATGCCCTCCTTTGCATACTCCTAAGCCTCTTCTTACTAAGTTTGGCTTTGTTTTTTATTGGACAACTGCTTACCGATTATACACAACTTGAAATTCCAAAATGTGTCCCACACCCGTGCAATGGATGCACAGGTAAGAGCTTTGATTTCTGCCTCCTGGAAGACCAGTTACTCACAGGTTTAACGGAGGTACTGCCGGTTCAGGCCCACAGCTCATGAGATGGCTCAGGAATATGTCACAGATACCCCAGCCCCACATGCGCAGCTGCCCCCGGAAGCCACAGAGCAAGAAAAAAGGGGAGAAGCAACGCTTAACACACGGGCATCCTACACACCCAGGAGAACTCATGCCCTCCAGCACAGAACTCCACACACTGGGCATTTTGCGTAAGCCGCCCTCCTCCAGCAGACAGGCAGGGCTTGGCAGGGCCAGCTGAAGATGACACCCAGCCTCATATGTGGCCACCACACACGCCAAGGGGGAGGATGGAACAGGCGACCTGCTGTCCCACACACCCCACAAAGGAGACAGACAGCTCCCAGGGCAGACAACCCCACCACCTAATCCTACAGTCAAGCCTGGGGGTTCGGCAGGGCCCCTCAGTAGTCTCCTGAAGCCCTAAGGTCTCTTTTCTAAGATTACTACAAACTGCAACTGAACAAGAAAATGCGCACCTCCCTGGAGGTCAGAAAAATGCAGATTAAAGCAAGAAGCCACTCTTCCCCTACAAAAGCGCCAGAGAAAATAATTACAAGGCTGGCGGTGGTGTGGAGGTGTGAGCCCCTCCCTGCTGCCAATGGCTTTTCTAGCAAGCAGTATGCCAGGGCTATCAGGAATCTTACAAGGGTACCTCTTAGCTAGGGGCAATGAGCAGAAACTGGGGCGGCTAACTGCAACAAAATGTTTCACCCTATATACTCTTGAC